CTGCAGGTTAAGTATTATCATGGTATCCTTAAGCATAAATACAAATGTAGTTCTGTATTTAAATTGTTAGAAATGCTGAAAATAATCCCCATTAATTTTTATGAAACCCTCTTCACATCTGAGCTTATTTGTAATAATATCACGTTTCAATCCATTGGCTATTTTTAGTATAGGGACTTTGGGCTTGTGCTGCCTATGGAAGTAAATCTGCTGATTTCATAAAACAGCAGTAGACTCTTAGTATATAACTAAATAAAACATAAACAGACTTTGCATAATGTTTTCTTGTTTTGTTCAAATCCTGCCATCCCTCAAAGCCCTGCTTATGCTATCACTTGTTCAAATGAAGCCTCCTGTCCGGTGAGCTCAGAGTGATTACCATTTATCTCACAGTTGGCCATGTTACAGTTCTGACACTGTCTTCCCTCATTGTGTTTAACTTTTATGGGATCTTATGTCTTCAACCAGATTCTAAGTTCCTTGAGGTCAGATAAAATGCTTTATTCATCTCTGTTTTTCCTGTCAATTTTCTCCCTAGCACTGTGCACAAAGCAGGTTCTTAATAAATGTGTGTTGGTGCACTGCTCCATCTCCCAGTGCTGACATGAGGAATGAAGTGTGCTCCAGACTCTAGGCTGCTCTTATAACATCTACCACCTCACTGATGAAGGTGAAGTTTCTACCATTCAGAAAGATGATCAAAATCATCAGCAGAATATGACCTGTCCTTCCAAGTTCAACAGGTAAACCCTGATATTTGGTATTCAGGACCAAAATTTACATGAACTAGTAAACAACTACAAAAACATAAAAACCAGAAGTATGCTAGACCATAATTATCCACTTTTGCTTTTGAAAAAGCCTCTTCTTCTTGTCTTGTCTTCCCCCGCCCCCCACCCCCGGCTAAGTAATCTCAACTATCATCTAATTTCCACTTTTGGCTTCTAGTTTCTATTTGGGAAGAGGAAAACAATGTATACATGACATGGTGGGGGAGGTAACAAACCTGGATGCTAGACAAGCTATAACGAAGATACAACAGTTCACAATAATGTTATATTCTTGCTAAGCAATGGGCTCTGAGTTCATTTAATCTTTCCACCTAGTGCTACTATACTTCTAGATGGCCAAAATGCTTTATGGTGATGTAGGTGTCTCAGTCCTCTTTAAAGAAAGGGCAGATGCACAGAGAAGAGTTACTCATAGCTTTGGCTGGTGTCAAAAGTAGGTAAAAATAAAAAGTGCTGAGCAAGGCAGGGATCATGTAAGAGGAGGCTCTCAATTTTGCCTTGCTGGAGGACAGTAAATGTATTTCTTTCTAGAATTCTAGTCTCTCACTCCACATATTGGTAAATATTCCAAATATAAATAGCATATGCTAGATTTTAGTATTATACTACAAAAAATGTCAATAAATTTAAATACTAATTATCCAACTTCCCATCCTGGTTTACAATTCAAGTACTATTGGCCTAATTTTAAGCAATTACAATGAAACAAATACTACTTTCCCATTCCTCTAAGAACCACAATGTGAGCGCAAAGCTCACAATCCTAAGACTCTTCAGGTTCTATCTCAATCTGGAAATTCACTTATCCTAGGATCTCAGCAGACCATGCCCCCTGCCCATCCATGGCATGTGTTGAAGGAGGGCTTACAGGGCACCTGGGTAGCTCAGTTGCTTAAGCGACTGCCTTCAGCTCAGGTCATGATCCTGGAGTCCCTGGATCAAGTCCCGCATCGGGCTCTCTGCTCGGCAGGGAGTCTGCTTCGTCCTCTGACCCT